CTAGGCAACATGATCCAGTGCCTCACCACCCTCACAGTAAAGTTCTTCCTAAAATCTCTCTCTAAAAGCCAGATCTCTTTTACTTTAAAACTATTCCCCCTTGTCCTACTCCTATCTGCCCATGTAAGAAGTTATTCTCCCTCTTTCTTTATAAACATCATTTAAGCACTTAAGAGACCTTAAGGTCTCCCAGGAGCCTTCTCTCTCTTCCAGGCCAGTTCTCAGCCTGTCTTTGTAGGATAGGTGTTCACTCCTCTCATCATCTCTGTGGCCCTTCTCTGGCCCCACTCTAACAAGTCCACATCATTATTGTGCTGAGGACTCCATACCTGGTTGCAGCACTCCAGGTGGGGTCTCACCATGGCAGGGAAGAGGGGGAGAATCGCTTCCTTCCACCTGCTGGCCATGCTGCCTTTTTGATGCATCCCAGGAGGTAGTTGGCTGGCTGGGCTGTGAGCACACATCCGTGATAAACCCCAAGGTTTTCTCTGTCATCCTGCTCTCAGTGAGTTCCCCCAGTCTGTACTCTTTCCTGGGATTACCCCAAACCAGCTGAAGCATCTTGCACTTGTTAAACTTAATGAGGTTCTCATGAACCAGCTCCTCAAGCTTGTCTGGGTTCCTCAGGACAGTCTCCCTTCCTTCTGCTGTGTCAAGTGCACTGCTTGGTTTCAAGTCATCTGCAAACTTGCTGAGGGTCCATTTGATCTTACTGTTGTCATTGATGAAGATGTAAAACAGCACCAGTCCCAAAGCGGAGCCTTGAGGGAGACCATCACTGGCGTACAAGTTGTTGACCCCATCTTCCTGTCTGTGTCCATCCATCCAATTCCTTATCTACTGAGTAATCTTTAAATCTATGTCTCTCTAATTTGGAGATAATGATGCCATGTGGGCCTAGCAGAAGTCTAGATAGGTGACACTGGTTGGTCTTGGCACCCTTGTCAACTGTTGCAGTCACTCCATTTAGAAGGCCACCAGATTGGACAGACATGAACGTGAGCTCTTAGTGGTTGCTCTAGACATTAGTACAGAAGGCATATCTAATTATAAAGTATCTTCCACAATCCACAGAGGACATTTCTCAGTCACTCAGAAAGAAGATGTTGAAACTATTGTTTTATTGCTTGCAAATGTTTGCATTTGCTTTTTTCTCTCCACTTTTTTCCTCCATCTCATGTCAGGTGGATACAGGTGGAAAAGTTGAGTCTTGGGCATGCATTATGCTTATCATCACTGGTGAAGTGGCTGTACAGGTCATGCAGCATCAGTGCACCAACAAAACAGAAAAACAGACACCTATTAATGTGTTACTAATGTTTTCATTTCATTTACTAATGCTTTTCATTTCCTTAGTCCCATTCAAATCAATGGACTTATCCATTGAGTCATAGAATCATAGAATAATTTGGGTTGGAAGAGACTTTTAAAGGCCATCTAGCCCAACCTCTTTGCAATGAGCTGAGACATCTTCAACTCAATCAGATTGCTCAGAGCCTCATCCAACCTGACCTGGAATACTTGAGGGAAAGGACATCTATTACCTCTCTGGGCAACCTGTTCCAAAATCTGTTTTTAAAAGGTAATACCTGGAATACTCTTATGTTCATATTCTGACTGGTAATCTGTGTGGGGGGGTTGTTTTTGTTTTTTTTTTTGTTGTATTTCTTTTTTTTATGATTTTTTCTTTTAGTTTGAATAGCTTAATTGGTATTTTTATAATACAGGTGTGATGGTATTTGTGTTGTTCTTGTTTTATTTTCTAATGAAACAGCACTAAGATTTGGATTTCAGAGGACATAATTTTCCAGTGGGGTTATTGATGCTCTCAGGAATAAAATGCTGTGCTACTTCATATTATTTGCATATTAAAATGTAAAATGATTATTGAGCTCATAAAATGAGAAGTATAAAGGGAAGGAGAGGAAGTACTAAATTAAAAAAAAAATAACATGCCACCAAACACTTTCTAAGAAAAGCATTGCATTTTCATGTACTGATGTCTGGTGAAGTATTTGAACAGAAGCTTCTATTTTGGAGGAGGGAGGGGGTGTTTGCTTATATTTTTTCACTTTTTCACCTTTGATGGGTGAATCCAAAGGCAAAACTCCAGTTGTGTTCCACTCTTTCAGACCAGGAGAAAGCCTGAAGTTGTGTGCCATACCAGGGACAACTAGCTAGTATTCAGGCAGGTTTTTTGGGTGATGAGCTGCCACAAAGACAGCAGGAAGTGCTGGTAGGGACTAAACCAGTGCAGGACAAAGAGCCTCTGTGAGGTTCCCTGAAGTGGTCAGGACTGTTGGCTGTTCAGAGCACTGCATTTATCCAGACAAGTTTGTGGTATGCTGGAGTTGCTTCCTGTGTTCCTGGGCAGATCTGTGTTCCAGTCACCAGTGTGCTGGACAGGAGTGTGCCCTGTGCAGAGGTTTACAAAGGCTGGAAGCACCTGGGTGCTTTGGAAGGCACACTGTGGACTGATCCTGGTGTTATTGGACCTCTGCTGCTGGCTCCTATGAGCAGCATCCCTCATTTGTTATGGAGCTCCTGCATCTTACAGGCTGGTTTTGGGAAGCACTGTACTGGTGAGATGCAGCCAGACTGCCTTATTTATGAAATAATGGTTTTGAGCTTTTTGTTTTGGGTTTTTTTTTTTACTTTTCAGCAATATTCCATGCACTGATTTACATTTATTTTATTAGATCTCTGTGTTTGATGAAGTTCCTTGTGAGAATGGCTTTTGCTTCAAGCATAACTGGGGAAGATTGCCAAAATGTAGTTAACCTTCATGTCAGTGCTCAGCTTCCAGAACTTCCCCAGATGGACTTCTACACCTTACAGCTGTTAGGCAATTAACCCCAGAGCATCTTGCTGAAATAAGGTCTAGTTCCTGAAATATTTGGCCTTGTGATTGTCTTTATACCATAGCTACTCCTAATTTATGAGTGAGGGTTTGGGATTGCAGTGAACTACATATCCATATTGCTTGAGAAGAGTGATGTTTAAAGTGTAAGGTCGTGGCCTCTGGAAGCTGCCAGCAAATGAGAATGACAAATAGGAACATGGAATTAACACAGAGGCATGTATTCCAGGTATAGTCTCCTTCATTAACAAAAAAAACAAAACAAAAAACAGGAGGAATGAAAGAAGTTTTAAGGGTTGATGAGCCCCTCTCAGGCAAGTATTCAGCCAAAGCTAAAGAGTAAATGGTCATATGAATGGAAGAATGAGTGAACCACTTGAGGTTTTGGGTTTTTTTTTATCTTTCTCCAGATGTCTATGCAACCTTATCACTATTTCCCCAGGGTTTTTTTGCTGTTGTTTTTGGTGGGTTTTTTGGGGTTTTTTTTGGTTTTTTTTTGTTGGTTTGGTTTGGTTTGGTTTTTTTTTCCTAATGCAATAATCATGTCTGTCGAGAGAGACTCCTCATGTTATGGCATTATAAATACTGCAGTGTCACAGTCACTGGTACAGAATCTGAGCTAGTAGGCAGTGTTTCTCTGAAAACAGTACCTTTCAGATAGTTTCAGTCTTTACATTCTAGTGTACTGTAACAACAAGTTTAACAAGATAGTCTTCCTTTTGAGCATTGGTTCCAACCCCTTAACTTCTTGGAGGCCCCTTTCTTCTATTGAGGAAATGTTTTTTTTATGATGGTATGTCATGTGCTGTAGTAGAACTTAGGAACTGCCCAGGGGCTATGTTGAGACTGCCAAGTCTGTGGAACTACTCATCTTGACTTTGCAGAACTGTTTGTTTTCCCTAGGGGAAAATGCAATCATCAGGTTTATTGTATAGTGACAGATGTTTAATTTGTAAATGTCACGGCTACTTCAAGAGCCCCATGTTTGACATATAATGCTTCAAATACTGTTTTTATGTGAGAAGACAGCTATGATGTATGACTGAAATTGCTGCAGTTCTGCTTGCTTTTTCTTTTTGAGTTGTCTTGGATAAAATTGCCCTTAACTCTTGGCTAATACCTCATTACGGTTGAGATGTGTGTGATGCCTTTTCTTGTTATGATGTGAGTTATGTAAAAATCCTGCTCATATAAGGTCTGTCACACTCAAATGATAGCTCCTTCATTTTCATTGTCTTTCCATGTCACTTACCTACAGCTTCTGGGACTACTGCATCTCTGATCATCCAAAAATATTGTGCTACTGCAGTAACGAGGACGTTGTGTTGGGTTTTGCAGAATGTTATTCCATTCAGCAGATCGGAGCTGTGTGCTTCCCTACCAGGCTCTGCTTGATGTACTGAAATGCCCTCTGCTGTGGAGTAACGTTCATTATGCTGGGCAGCAGGTGACAGCAGGCTTAAATGTGACTTTTGACTGCTGTTAAAAAATGTTCTTCATAGGCCATCTTAGGACCTTACCCCAACCTGCCCTAAAAATGGGTATGGGATGTTACTTGTTTGTGAAATAAATTCGTCTGACAGTTGTGTAGTGGTTAAATTTAATTGAGCTGCTTAAATTTCTAGTTGTAACTCAATGCCTACAGCAGGAATATATATACTAAGATTTCTTCCAATTTCATCCAAGTCATGCACAGTCTGCATAATATCTGGTGATAGTATATCTCGACATTTCCATGTGCTTCTACTGGTCTGTATAAATTGAATTTTAGACCCCCTGCTGTCTGTGTACTGTATGATTCTCCAGAGTCAAATGTTCTGCCTGTAGTACTTGAATCAACTGCATTTAAATATTGATTTAAAAAAAATGTGATTCATACTGTGGGAACGTTCAGTAGGGAGAGCTTGCAGCCTAAACAACAGTGTCCAGCTGGTGTGGTTCACAGTAAAATTCAGGATTGTGGTTTTGTATTGCTTGTCACATGATCATAATAGCCTGTGAGTTGCTGAAAAAACTACTTAATTCCTGCGTTTGAGGTGAGGGAAGAAAGAGAAAATGTGAGCAAACCTGTAATTTTCCCAAGTGCCGCAGTTACTGTATCTGATATGTTAATGCAACTGCTTTTGTTGTCTCACCACAGATAAATTCTGAGGAGCGTGTTGATACAGCTGATCAGGAGACAGTCTCCTGGGATCGCAGTATTCCTGAAGAAATAAAGCAAAAAATACAGCCTAAAGAGGTGCCTGCAGAAAGTGTCACTGTCTGGATCGATCCCTTAGACGCTACACAAGAATACACAGGTAGCTGATTCTTGTTGACTAATCATTTGTGTAATTCTGATGTTTGTCTTTTAAACTGGAGACAAAATAGTAAATATTTAACAGGACATATCTTGTTAAAGTGTCTTATGTCAAAGCTAATGTGATTTAATTGAACAAATTACATAATGAAATCTCTGTAGTTCTCATATTACAACATTTACTTTTATATATTCCAACTCTGAAATTATTTTGGTATCCTTGCAATTAAATAATTGCTGTAATAAATGCTAACTGTCAATTATGGATTGTACTGGAATGACATGTTTCTTTATTTCAGTCATTACTGTGGCAACTCTAAGTATCTCAGATGTTTGGTTTTGTTTATTGAAAGGGAATACTAAGTACATATACTATTTAACTTCATACAAGGAAATTTTTGTTGTCATTTTTCAAAAACCATGTAGAATTGAGCCTGGCCCCTTTGCAAATATTTTAGGATGTCACATTAGCAGTTCAAGGCAATCCAGCTAAAATTCTAGGAAGTTACAAAAATGGGAAATTTTTTGTGACTATTTCACTGTTTCAGTTATGCTTTCCAGGGGATGATTTTTGCTTTTTGATTACCATTTTTGAACCACTAGAGGATAGGAGATGAAGCAGAGAAGGGAGAATGCAGGGGCACAGATTTCCATGAAAACGTGTGTTGCATAAGCCACAGCTGACAGCGTTAGGTTTGGTAGGAGTACAGGTTATATCTACTGAACAGGAAAAATTGCTGGAAAGCTGAAAAGTTTTCAAAGTCTTTTGAAAACTGAAAGGTTATTTGAAGATACATCAAAGTTACATAACTGCAAGAAGCAGAATGTAAACTAGTCTTCAGAGAATAATCTGAATATTCTCCTGTCTGTTTTCCTTCTGTGTTCTTGGCATCTGATTGTAAACTTGCTCCCTTTCTTGTTTTGCCCGCAGAGGATCTTCGACAGTATGTCACGACAATGGTTTGTGTGGCTGTAAATGGTAAACCAGTAATAGGTGTGATACACAAGCCCTTCTCATCTTACACAGGTACCTTCATGCCTTCACATATTTCCATCATTGTCAGTCATAGTATTAATTAAAATTTGGTGTTTGGGAAAACATCTTGTAGGTATAAATGGGAAAATAGTACCAGCAGCAAAACGGTGCTGCAGCAGACCACACAATTAGAGCTCTAGATGTGTTCTGTGCTATAAAACCACAAAGGAAAATGCCACCCTTGTTTAAAATAAAAATGATGCATTTAGAACAAACTAGCTGAAATACTTTTAAGAGCTAAGATCCCTTCAATTAGAGTGCTTATATCAAATAAGAAAAACAAGTTAAACCTACAAATACTGAGTAGTTTTATGTGTTCTTTTATCTTTAGCAAAAAAGAGTACTTTGCTCATTTAGCAGAGTAACTTGGGTCTGTGATAATATACCTAGGAGCTCCTGTTTATTTGGTGTGAATAAAAAAAAAAATTGAATGAAGATCTTAATGGCAACTGCATGTAACAGACAAGACTGTCTAGTATAGTCTTATTGATTATCTAACACACTTTTAATGCCATAGCTGTGAAATAATTAATTTTTTAGTATTAATGATGCATCAGCAAGCATTGCTGCAAGTTTGACAATTTGCATGCACTTCTGAAGGCCTCAGACTAGTTTAAGTATTTGTGTCTTACTGTGTATTTAAAACAGGAATTTCTGTTTACATTTTCCCTTAGGCAATACTGACCTCTAGAGTTCTGAAGTTTTGCGGTAGTTCTGGCACAAAAACTAAGTCTGAATAAATGCATTTTGTATTTGTTGTCCTTTTTTTGACTCACTGAACACTCAACATTTTGTGCTAAATATATTGCTGTCTATAAATATGAATTTAATTAGCAGTCACTTAAGTATATGCTATATTCCAATATGCTTCAAGAATCTTGGAGATTTTGGAACATATTTTTTTAGGTGTCAATACCTATCTGAAGAAATAGGTTTTTAGCATTGTAATGTTGAAAATTTATTTCCTTTGATAATAGTGAAGTGTGCAATGTTCAGACGTGAATCATGAGATGCAATGAATTCTGTCATTCTGTGTGACAAGTATTCATTTTCCAAGCTGGAAATACTGATATGTTTTGAGACAAATTGTTCCTAATACTACCACACAAATACAAAGCAATAAAGGGCAGTCAGTATTGTTATTACACAGAGCTCAGTCTGTTGCCAAACAATTTGGCTCTCTACTGAGATGAAATTGCTGGGTAGTTTACTAAGTAAATGTCAAATTAATGGTTGGGGGATGCCACCTACCAAGCTTGGCTTTGAAGTTCATGATAAAACAAGTGGGAAGTTGTGGATTCTAAATTCAGTTCTCTGAAACACAACATCAAATATTTTTCTTTGTAGCACTGTCCTTCTGAGCTATTTCCTTCTTTAGCATTTCTCTCCTTCTGAACAAAATTACTCCATAGCATTTTTGATATCTCCTTTAAAGGGTAGTGGGGCTTTTTGGTCTTACATAAAAACATTGTCTGAGGAAATATTGGATGTATTTCTGACTAGGAGCCATCCTTTTAACTTTGGTAGCTTTCCAATTGCAAATTCTAAATATTAACTACTTGGGATTTTTCCCTCTTATTCTGTTTTTTGGAAGTATTACTCAAGAACAGTCAGGCTTGGGATAATGCCATATGCACCAATGTGTGTGTGGCCTCTTTCTCTTCCCTTGTGTGCATATGTGGCTATGCACCCCATCCTCTGTCAGCTCTTTCTCTTTTACATTATTGAGAGATACAAAGTCTGAGGTATCAATTACATATTATTAAATAAGTACTCTTTTATCCTCACACTTAACAGAGATCGTCTTTTGTAAATCTTAGCAGAATTTTTGTTTCTCTTGTAGCTTGGGCAATGGTGGATGGTGGGTCAAATGTAAAAGCTCGTTCCTCCTACAACGAGAAGACTCCCAGGATTATTGTGTCCCGCTCCCATGCAGGAAAAGTTGAGCAGGTTGCACGGCAGACATTTGGAAATAAAACTGTGATAATCCCCGCTGGTGGAGCAGGTTTGGTTCTTTAAGCATCCTATCCATTTTACTGCTTCAGAATGTTTTAATGGTGTAGCTGTTACTAGACAAAAGGATGTACCGTGGTGTCTTCTCTTTTTCCTCTTGCCTTTTGATCTTCACATCACTGAAAGCAAACCCTTGACGATAGGGACACATATTTTCCTGTATTTAGGAACCTACATGCAGACTTGGTTCAGATTTCAGGTTGTTCACAAGTCAGTGTGTTACTGAATCTAAGGCTGGACCAGCAATGTTGTTGTGGTCCTTTCATTGAAATGCACTGATGTATGCTCATGGAAGTGCATTTTTCCTCAGTGGGAAAAAAAGGGTTGTGTGACCACAGGCACAATCATAGAAGAGAATCTGTTGCTTCTTAGGTAGGTATTAGAATGGCTAATTTTAAAAAAATTAAGAAAAAGGCCATTAAAGTTTGATATTGTTTATTGCATTTATGTCAAAAGAGAAAATTAGTATCACTAAAGTCCATTTTTATCTGCCTCATACTCAATTTAAAGAAGTTTTAGAATACTTTTTATTTATGCGATGTCTTTGTGCATGTTACTAGTAAAGCATGAATGGGAGGCACTAGTGTGAACAAGAGTAGTTTTAAAGTCTCAGAAAAACCATGCAAAATTTTATTTTTACAGAAATGTATCTTTCTGTGTCTTTAATGCAAAAAGCCAGAGCTGTCTTACAGATTGTTTAGTCAAGAAGGTCTTGCATTGCTTCTTGGTAATGCAATTACCAAGAAAGTGAAAGTGTAACTGATTCTAGCTGGTCTTGTCCAGGACTTGACTCTGTTTAAGAAAATGAAGAAATTGACAGATTAATGAAACAAGTATATTGGTCAAAAATTGAAAAAAATCCATAAAAGAATGGATACTGTTTTGAGCAATTGCTTTGTACTGCATAATGAATAATAAAGGGAAATGCCCTGGGCTGATTTGCTTATTAAAGAGTGGCGTATACATTTTCTTTCTATTGTAAAGCCAGGTTGAAAAAGATAGCATGATACAGGGATTGAGAAATAGTATTGTTCTTTTAATGTGTTTCTACAGGAAAGCTTGGTTTATTTTTTTTCTTTTTATCTCTGCCCTATTTCTTCTAGGTTATAAAGTGTTGGCCCTCCTTGATGTGCCTGAAAAGAATCAAGAAGAAGCTGACGTGTATATCCATGTCACCTACATTAAGAAGTGGGACATATGTGCTGGAAATGCAGTGTTGAGAGCATTGGGTGGCCATATGACTACCCTGACTGGAGAAGAAATTAGTTACACTGGCTCAGATGGCAATGAAGGAGGACTTATAGCCAGTATCAACATGAACCATAAAGCACTAATTGAAAAACTTCCAGATCTGGAAAAAACATCACACAAATAAGCATGACGGATGAAGTACAAGTTGTGCTTTTGTAGCCTTCAGATGCTCTGTCTGAAGAAGCAGGTGTGAAAACCTGCTGGAAAAGATGCACAGCAAAGCAAAGCAGTTTGGTGTGGGCTTGGGGACTGTATCTTGCATTGGGTTTTGTCAGTGGTGGTATTTAAAAAGAATAAAATAATAATAATAATAATAGTTGGAAGTAGGAAGGGGATTGATGGTCTCACACATCAGTTTCCATGTTTTATTTTTTTCAGACTGTTTTCATGCAGTTCTTATACTCAAGGTGCATTTACCATATATATTGGTAAACATAGGTGAACTAAAGAAAAATCAATTTTTTTTGTAAAATGTCCTAAGTATTTCTCACAGAAACTTCTTGAAACCTTTTACATCTTACTGTAGTTTTAGCAATTCCATAATAAATTATGTAGGGAAAAAAGCTTGATTTGTGTAGGCATCTGATAACTGTAAACAGTTTATCAGGAATCATGACCTCGTATTTTGTATCCCCTGAATGGAAAGCACAAGAAGTTGATTCAAATCTATATGCAGCAACAGTTTATCTTTGATGGTGTGGCACTCTCTGCTTTTTAAGAGAAAAAAAGAAATGTTCTGTACTATTTTGACTTCTTTCCTGAAGATGTAAACCAGTTTTAGTTCAGGTGGGTTGTGAATATCAGTGTTTTATTAATCAGTGTAATTATTTCCTTATACATTTTTAAAAGAAGGCAGCATTTCCTTGTATAGTTTTTTAGCAGTTACTTCTTGTCCTTGATTTCTGCAAGCAATGTTGAAGATGCATGCTAGATTTTTCTCTAATATAGGGCTTGTTCATCATGTGGTGTTTGTGCCTATAGAAGCAGCCTCTTCCTTCAGTACCTGTTATTTTGTTTGTTTGGGTTTTCTTTCCATTGGACAGAGTCATAGGGAATGAATTTTACAGAAATAGTAGGTTGACTGGTTATTTCCATTTCCAGCACAAGATATAAACCAGCACTTTTTCTACAACTCCAGGAATAAATAGTTTTGTCTTTTTAGCTTGCAGCACACTCTTCCTGCAGACAGCTCTTCAGCCATTCCAATCAGCTTGTGATTTGTGGTAATTTACAGACAGAGGAGAGACCATTTGAACTTGAATCTGCTTAAACAAGATTGAAGAACATGTGGCACTTGAAGTACAGCAGAGTCTTCAAAACTTTACTGAAAAATGTTCTTTTCAGTCCAGTACATACAGAACAGAATGCAGGGCCTTTGATATCAAATGCCAATTTGATATCAAATTTTCTAAAATATGTGGACTTCTATCTTCAAACATGTAACCATCTGCATTGTTGTTCTCTGCATACCCCTGAAAGGTTTCAGAAGGTTACAATGTACAAATTGTTTGAATTATCAGAAAATAAGCTGCCCATTTATCCTGAAAAATCCTTAAATTCTTAGTTACTGTAGATGGTTTCTGTTCAAAGTTTGTTCACTATAGGCTTAGGCTGCTTGATCCAAACCCTTAATTTTTTAATTTTAATTTCTTTCATATTGTTAATGAGAACTACTGTTCTGATTAGAAAGAGGTTTTTCTCCTTAGGTCAGTAGTGGAGAATGTTTAGATACTGCTTTCAACTTCTAGCTGAAGTTCACATTTCCAAAAGACCTCCCAGTTGTTGCATAACTACAGATACAGACTTCTGTTTCTTAAACTCGCTGGGAAAGGAGACTGAAGCTTAGTCCTATGAGCCTTTTGGTACAGGTAGTTTTTGGAGATCTTCTTGTCCAACACAGACACTATTGCTGCTCTTTGAAAATAACTTTTACACAGTAGATAATACACAAAGCAATTTTACTTTCAGTTTTTAAATTTAAGAAACTGCTATATGCTATGACAAATAAGTGATGATGCCCTTTTTAAAAAGGATCTGATCTGTCTCAAAAAGTTATTGAGCTTCCAAACTTCAGTGAAGAATAAAAAAAAAATTATCAAGATTTTAACATTTTACAAGAAGATTGCAGCTTTTTAAGGCTGACTTAAATGTCTTAGAGCCTAATTTAATTTTTAAAATGTTGTTTGTATGTTTATTTGTTAAAGAACATGGATTAAAATTTAAATATGAGAAATAGCCATAGTTAGCCTAGTATAAAAACCTGATTGTATCACAGAGATCAAATGCACAATATTTGATTAGGCAATTAAGATAAAATCTGTGGCAAGCTGGGGTTTTAGAATCAGCCTGAAATCTTTATGTCAACATTATTGCTAAAAATGAAACTGCTTTTATTTTGGGGACTGCTTCTATCACTTCCTTGCATAAGCTGTGATCAGGCTTCCTGTATGGGAAATGAAAAATGTTATGTAATGTACAAGGGCTTACTTGTATCTTAGTTGAAGGCATAGACCAGTGAGCAAAAGTGTTTGCCTAAGTTATGTTTTTTCCTAGGAAAACAAAGTAACTTAGGAGAGACCCTCCTTTCCTTCTCCCACATGCTGGCTAAAATGCCTAGCCTTCCATTAGGAAGACTTGTGCTTGTTTAGACACATTAATATCCTGAATTGCTTTGTTGCAATGGATTACAGTGTTCAGTACATGTCACAGGGGACCATTATTGGCCTAATCTCACTCCTGGTGAAACTGAGGAAAAGATGAGAGTGTGGTGCCCAGTTAATTACTCGTAGTAGAGCCTGAGCTAGTGGAACTTTCCCACACTTGAGGGCTAAGGTAGTGCTTGTGGTCTCCCAGTGTAATTTAAAGAGTAGCTACACTGGTGTGAGAATAGGTGAGCAGCTGGTGAATATCAGTTTCAGATGTCATTTTGCAATAAATGTAACTGTTACGCAGACCAGCAAGTATTCACACGTGCTTGCTTAGTGCACGCATCCCAGTGCGCTTTGTACAGTGTTAACACTCAGTGTGTCATTTCTTCGGCTGTGTTTACACTCCATTCTGAAATGGTCTGCTCAAATTCTGGCTTAAATATTTGTTTGGTCTCATCAGTGTAGATGTGACTTAACCTTATGCCCAGAGGGTGGGAAATCCTACCATACCCACATCTCACTGCTGGGCTACAGCAGTGTTCTTTACGTTTTAGCCTTTTCCACACAAAGCTGTTACATGCCATTTTTAGGGATGCTACTTAAAATGACTGCATGTTGTAGGTGGGTCCTACAAAAGTATATATTTTTTAAAAATCTTAATTAAAAAAAAAAAACAAGATAGTAGCATTCTAGCTCCAAATAAGGGATGTAAGAGGATGTATTATTTTAGCATTGGTTTTCCAATGGTGGCTATTTTGAGTGGCTATTATGATTAAGGTGGTTGTAAGTGAAATTATTCTAAAGCTGTATGTATTTTCTCTTTTTCATTCTTCTAAAAAGAGTGTATAATAGCATAGATAATATCTGGTACTGTACCAAGAGTCCTAGCTTTCATTCTTTGAATGAATGTTTTCTAAATAAATGGACACAGAAATAAATGGGTTGAATATTGTATTTAACTGTTTTTGAGATTAACATGTTTGCCAGACTTTTACAGATGGATTTAAGAGCTGTTTGTACTGATCTACAGAGCATGTTATGATAATGAAAATGGTTTTTTTTACTGGCCAATGGCTTGAGCCCAGAAGTGGGGAGGGGAGTCAGTACTGGGGTTCATCTCTGGTTTTTTGATTATAAATAAGTGTATTCCAGTGTCTTTGTAGCATCCTGTTACCTGTTTGGGTGGTACAACAGTAGTGCAGTATTGTATACTCCTGATTTAATGTCTAAAACAAGGAGTCCACATCTCTCAAGAATTATGCAGTGAGAAGTGGCCAAGTGTCATTCTGGGCCTCTGCTGTGTTATGCCAGCAGAGAATGGCTGCTTCGTTGTCTCCTGGATGTCATTCCAGTAGCAGTTTCTCTCACAGAAAACCATTTTTTCTAGGCTACTGTCTCCCACCAGTATGCCCAACCTCTTCATAGATCTGTTTTCTGAAGTAAACTAGGGCAGTGGAAAGAAGCAGATGACTGTGCTGAAGAAGTTGCAACAGAGGACAATTACTTTTGTTTCCTTATTTTTAAATTGCATTGATTGTTTCGTGTGTCTTGTCTTTCAGAGGTTAGATAATGATACAGATAAGATTCAATGAACCACAAATAGATGCCTGTGGGATTTTAAGCCCAAGCAGGATGAGGGCAGGAAGGACTGCTTCTACCCAAGGGTGGTTTTCAGTCAGGCCACTCATGCTGAGCTCTTCTTCAGTGCTTTAGTGGTTTAGGCCCTTTCACACAAACAACTACAGATTTGACTTGGCCAAAATATCACCGATAGTCTTGTCTTCTAATCTGCTGTCCTCAGTGATAGAACTGCACTGTATCTGCTTCCTGTAATGTAATTCACTGAGATAAGAGTGTGGTAACTCTCAGGACTCAATTGCTTGACTTGTGAACCACAGCTTCTTTATGGCAGCTTTTGCAATGATGTCCTAGTACTTTCTGTGAGTGTCTTCCCACCCCAAAAGCAGGTCATGCACCCACGATTCGTACTGAGAAGTTGTTGAAGCCTTCTATGTTATGGTTTTGGGGTGCCACAGCAGCTCTTTCAGCTCTTCTGTGGTAACTGCTCATCCAATTTCCATTTGAGGCTCTCTCTGGAGCCAGTAGATAGTGGCTGCTTCTCCCTCTTTGCTCTTCCTCTCTTCCCTTCTGATCCTTTCCTAACTGATGTGCTCAAATAAATGAGAGATCAAAGGTGAAGACAGTCCAGTGTGAGAGGACCCCAGCAGTCAACTATCCAATTTATCCTGAAAGTGGTAATGTTTGGGACTAAGGTCTAAGGTAGTGACTGATTCAACCAGAAGTGCAATACTTGCCAACAAAATAATGGGAATGTGGAGAGGTTCATGCAATTAGGGGTACTGAACCATACCAAAAAGATGCAGGTGGACTAAGGAGAAGTTAAACACCCAGAAAGATGAAGAAAATGGTTTTTCAGTATAATGTTGCAAGCATTTTGGCATTTGTGGCCCCCTGGGTGCAGAGCTTCATTGCTTATGAAAGAGGCTGCATTAGCCCTCTGTGAAAGGCCTGATTTTGTTGAATTCAATAGCAGTATTCCCACTGAACTCAAGGTGTGAGCAGTACCAAGCCAGATAAAACAGGAACAGTAAATTAAGCTAAATTCTGGAAAGCTCAACCTCTGTCAATAGAGCAAGCAATCTGGGGTTTGTTAAAGTTGCTTCTTAACGGCTTCAGCCTACATTTGGAAACATCATCCCAGTGTCTGAGTCTAAGTCTTTCAGGGTTTTTTAATGGTCTACAGCTGATAGAGCCCACTTTTAGGTAACATTATTTTCTAGCCCAGTTGTTCCTTATTTGCAATTCACATTTCATTTTTTCTCTCCAAAGGATCAGCAACACTCCAGCATTTTTACTGTTGTCCCACCAAATTGTATTAGCATTTTCCAATTGTGTGCCAAATTGAAATAACAATTCTATAAATAAATTCTCTGAAAATACCATTCTGTGAGGGTGTTTTTCCATATTCTAGGGGGTATTTATTGTTTCTTTGTGCTCCAGATAAGTTTTTTTTTTTCCAGTAATGCACGTCATGTGCTGTATCGATCATGTGTGTGAGACTTCCTGCCTGAGGAGTTACTGATAAATCCAGCCAACTTTATGATAAATACAGTTCAAGATCTCCACTGGTTTTGTTTTCATACTTGTGTTGCTGTGAAAGCTGGTCAGTTTGTAAAAGTGAGTGTGTAGAAATCCTCCAGATAGTATTGCTCTTTGGATCTGGAGAAGTTTTTTTCGAACATCATTTCCACATCTCTTCCCAATTATGTTACGCCATTCTGCTCGAGTCTCGTTTCCATGAGAATAGTAGTAGCAGCGTAGTAACTGCACAATTGTTAGCCCTTATTCTATTAATGTCCCACTCTTCATAAGTGAAACCTTGGAGCAAGTTGAAAGATCCTTTAATGTCCCACATCAATATGGCATTTTGGGCAGTTCTTGGATGCAACTTCAAATATGTTTCTTCTCACCCTTACTAGTATGTGCAATACCAATATGTACAAGACTGGATATGCAATGAAATTGTCTGTTGTCCTGGACTAAGGCAGCATAAGCACACAGAAGCTTTGAAAACCCTAGATCATGTGTGATCTAACAAGAAAAGGAATTTGGAATCTGTTGCGATGCTCCAAAACACATCGTCAGAGAAGATGAAACCCACAGGAGGAGGGCTTCTTCTCATCTTGCTAAACAAGTAAGTGCATGTCTGGTGCATGTGGTGCATGGCTTGTTGTAAACAGCTGTATCCTTTGGGAAGCCTGAAGGGCCTAGAGAGAGGCTGATGTGCTGTCAGCCATTTACATGAGGCTCTCAACCCTGCCTTTCTCACACCTGATCTATTGTGTCCTGCCCCAGGGACAGCGTTTTGCAGGTTTCATTATTTAGAGCAGTGTGAAAGGTGTGTAACACTGTTCAAAACTATACAGCCCATGGTGGCATCCTGCTTCTCAACAACATACACCAAATTTATGCCTCCCATTTGTCTTTGGGTCAGCTTCTTGCATATATTGTGTTCCACAGCTTCTTGTTTTTTATTTATTCTCTTCAGACAGTCATGCTGTCCATATTCAATTCAGAAATGTAAACTAAGCTTGTTAGAAGTGCAATAAGTTTAGTTTATGCTGTGCATGCTTGAGAGCCACTTGTATGTTTCTTTGTACTGTAGTAAGACTGTCCTGAGTAGACTTCTCATCATGCATCCTGCACACTAAGTACATCCTGCACACAGAATATTTTGAGCTGGAAGCAACCCACAAAGAGTCCAGCTCTTAAGTGAATGGCCCATACAGGGATCAAACCCACAAGCTTTTTCAAGCCCACAAGTCGTTTTCAAGACTCTGCTCTAACCAACTGAGCTGAAGGCTTTCCAGTCACTGAAAACGCTTCTACAAACGTCAGCTCATTTGCACTGCTAAAATAATTAAACTATTTTCCAGGGTAGCGCTGCACAACACAGTTTTGTCTTGGGCTGGGCCCTAACTCAATTGCTTAAAGGTATTCTAGGAGTCTGTCAGTCAAAGACAATTTCTGATCCCCAGGCAAAGGGCTGAAGTTCCACTGCAGAGGATGGAAGTTTGGTACCCAGCAGTGGGTACCAAAGCAGAGGTTGTGCAAGTCAGGCAGCTGGGAAGGGGCTTTGCCATCAGGGCAGACAAAATGGAGAGGCTGTCCATCATCTCTGCTGTAGGCCTAATCCTGGTGGCCATTTACTTGTCATACATCTCATGTAAAATTACTCCAAATTACAGGAGTCCTTCCAAATTAAGTGCTGTGATCTAAATGAAAAGCACTACAAATGTGCTAATAGGTAGTAATTCTGTTAGGGTATGCACAGAGGTGGAACTAGACAGATTTGGCTTTTACATTTGAAAACTGCTCATTTTTTTCTAAAGGGATGTGTTCATTCTACACCTAAGGATGTGTCAAGTTTGCAGCCCTCTCATCTGAACTCCACCCAGGCTGGATGGGTATGCTCTGTTTGCATAGGACCAATAACGTGGTGCACATTCTATTTCTGCAAGGGGATTGTGTTCAACTAAAATAAATAAAGGGGATAAAATAAATATCAGATCTGTACTAGGGGAAAGATAAATGCTTTAACTTGCTTACAATAATATTCTAGAATCTTAATACCTGAACCTGTTGGAAATATTTTTATTTCCCGCAATAAAGATTTTAGTTTATTTTAGCAGCAGTAAAATTTTTCTTGTATGCAGTGTTTTCTACTGGAACTGAACTAACTAACCCAGATCTCTCTTTGCTGTTCTGATAAGATACCAATCTTCTCTCACAAAAATAGTTTCATGCATGTGTAACAGTGGCTTTTGGAACCTAAACTGCACTCCATCCTAATAGATTTACACCAAGAACAGTACATATGGCAGAAAAGCTTTTAGTGTTGACACTGGCATCTCTAAAGGCCTTAGAACAGAGGGGAACAGAGGCCAGTAGAGGGCTCTGTCTTTTCATGAATCCCCTGAAGAGCCAAAAAGGTCTTTGTGACTAGGAACTTACATGCCTGTTTCATTTTTTACAAAGAAAAGTCACCGTTTTTTTTCCCCTCACTTGTGACATGTCTTCAGTTAAGAGGGCACAATTGATACAATTAGATCTTCCTTCAGGATAGCAAAGAACAGGCTTCTTTTTGGCTTTT